ATATACATACACACATACATATATATATATATGTATGAATATATACATACATGTGTATAGCAGTATGTATATATGTACATATATATATATATATATTTATTTATTTAGAGAGAGAGAGAGAAAGAGAAAGAGAAAGAGAAAGAGAAAGAGAAAGAGAAAGAGAAAGAGAAAGATAAAGAGAAAGAGAGATATCTTTTGCGGGACCTGATCTCCAGCCGCTCCCTGGAGCAAAGCGGCAGCCGATGAGTCGTTCACCTCGGAGATGCCGCGGCGGCTGCGCGAAAAGCCCAGTAAGCCAGGGCTTTAGAGTTAAGGGGTTTAGAGTTAAGGGTTAGTAAGCCAGGGCTTTAGAGTTTAGGGGTTTAGGGTTTAGGGAACTTCGAGGCTTTAGGAATGTTTAGGGTGCTTCCAGGGCACGAGGCTTCAGAACCCCAAAAGGCCCTTCTCAGAGCTCCTGCCGGATGGGTATACTCATACATTTGTGGTGGCAGGGAACATGACGTGCTCTCGGTTTGAAGTTTGTCACCGAATCCAGAGCTATTGCTGCCTCCTTGCATGCTGTCAGAATCAACGGCGAAGACGTTGTGTGCAAGGAACATCACACATCACACAGTTTGACTAACTTTTGCAATATGCAGGCCAACCGAAAGGGAACAACCTGTGAGGCAACTATGGTACGCAGTGATCTCGTGAATCTGTGTGCTGAGAGCGGCTGGCAGTTCTATAAAACAGCTGCAACCAGTGGCACACACCTACCTCCCAGACAGCACGCTTCCACAGCAACTTGGACAGGTACTGTATAGGCACATGTGGAAGTATGCTTCATACTTAGTTGCCTTTTCTGGGAGCACGGACTAGTAACTAGTCGTATCTATCACATTCATCATCATTTATCGACCCTTGCTCAGATCTTTACTCATTGGAAGGGGAGCGGCACTGTCCGATGCTCGGAATGCATGTTCACACAAGGCTGATGGATTCGCAACACGAGGACCCAGCATCACAGATCACCGGCAGGATCCAGCTCCTTGCACTTGAGACCATGTCCACGGTTTAGGGTTTAGGGTTTTGGGTTTAGGGTTAGGGTTTAGGACCCTAAACCCTAAACATTAAACATTAAACCCTAAACCCAAAACCCTAAAGCCTAAACCCTAAGTTTAGGGTTTAGGGAACTCCAGAACTCCCATGCCTGACTTGGTGCTGTCTGCCACCCTGGCAAGGTGAAAGCGCCACCTGGCATCTTCTACTTGGAGGTTCATGGGTACTTATAAGTGGCGTCATAAGTCCCCTCATAGGGCTATAATT